GGGGGGGGGGGTGGTCTTTGGCGAGACAGCCAGGAAGCCGTCTGTGCTCTGGTGGACAATGCCCGAGCGCTCCAGGGTAGGCTGTGCCCTAAGCCCATGGAGTTCCAGGGATGGAACCCCACGGGCACAACTGCTTTATTTACAAATCCAGGGTGCAGGAGGCCCACCATTGAGGGCATCCCCTAGGCTCAACCCCCTAACTCCTGCTTACCATCCCGGGACCTATACAGGGTGGTCCCTCCCCAGAGCTGGCTCCCTGTCCAGGGCTGTGGACCCCAACCTGGACTCTGAGAGGTCTTGGGCATCGCTCAAGTTCTCAGCCCTACCTGGCTCTAGGTGACTTTCACTTGCAGACCTGTCACTTTTTACAGGGCATTTTTTGGGGGGGTGGAGAGCTTGGGGTGACGGGGACAGCTTTTTGTATTTAAATGTCCACAGGAGGCCTGGCTGGGCGTGGCTCAACGGTTGAGCATCAACCTAGGATCCAGGCAATCAGGGTTCGATTCCTGGGTCAGGGCATGTGCCTGGGTTGCGGGCTAGGCAGCCAATCAATGACTCTCTTATCATTGATGTTTCTCTCTCTCTCCCCCTCCTTTCCTCTCTCTGAAGTCAATAAAGATATATTAAAATAAATGTTCACAGGAAATTCCTATAGGATTCTCTAAAAACATCTCCCTCATCACTCTGGTATCCAAAGTTGCATCTCCCAGAAGCCTCCTGCCTGGGCTCCTCCTACCTGGGCAGCTGCCAGAACTCACTCCCAACCCCTCCCTGGCCAGCCCTTGGAAGACACAGGGGTGCTGGGGGACCCACTGCACTGCCTGTCCCAGGTGGGAGCATACTCATGTCCATGAACTGGGTTCCTGGCTTGCTGTGGGTAAACAGGGAGGGGTCCTCAAACCTGAGATGCACTTGGAGGCTGTGCTGAAAAAGACCTGTGGGCCCTTAGTTTCTAATCTGGCAGGAATGGGGGGGCACTCCAAGAACTACAGGGGTCCCTCACTTCCTCAGCCATCTTTCCCACCCTGCCCCAGAAGCCTGGCCAGTAACAAATCCATTTCACCCATTTGAAGCAGAAAGACACGAGGTGCACATGTGCCCTCTGGGGCTTTTTTAGTTAGTGCAAAAAAACCGTTTATTCTGGTTTCTTTCCATGGTACCCAGAGTCGTCAGGCTGCTTTTTTGCCTGGGCTGCCTGAGCTGCACAGTGTATCACAGCAGCACTGGGATTGCAACAAGGCACAGAGGTGAGTCCTGCATCAGGTGACACCAATGCTGGGGATGTCCGAGCACCAGGAAGGAGGAGAGCTGGCTATACCTAGGGGTGCAGGGACTCCAGAGGGACCAGTGGCTCCATTGTGTATCGAGAGGGTGCAAAATGACCCCAGTGTGCGTCCTACGGCCAGTTCCTTGGGAAATTCACAGCACAAGCACCCAGCACAGGGTGTAAACTCCCCTCACAGCATCCATGAGCAGTGCCACTCATCATGTCCTACAAGGCCCACTCTTCATGGGCCAGGTCAAAGGGGCTCCCCAAGGCAAGTCGCCACCAACCATGCTAGAGTCTTCCCTCATTGCCCTGGGAAGGGCCGGGGGCTGGTACTGCCTCAGGTCCCAGCTGCTGCCGAGGCCACCCCAGGGACCACCACCCTCTGAGCTCCATGACCACAGGGCAACAGTGCAGAGAAGGAAGAGCTCAGATGGGAAGTGGGGAGGGAACTTCTGCAGGATGGATCTGGGCTTTCCCCACAGGGAGACCACCGTGAAGGCAGCTAGCCTTGAGTATGTGACTCCAGTGGGGCACAGAGTGAGGACCTGTGTAAGGACACAGCATGCTGGGCAGGAGAGGCCTGGGTGTCCCCTCACCCACCCACATTCCTGGGTACTAAGGAGACCCTGTGGAGAGTGTCACCAGGCTCAGGAGTGGGGAGTCAGTGTACAGAGCAAATGAACGAAGGGCCAACTTCCTACGATGTTTAATTTCAGCGGCTGGAGCCTCTCTCATGTGCTCCGGCCGCTGTGCATCTAGGCCTCACTCCGGTACCGCAGGTGGGAGAGCCGGTCCCTGATGGCCTGGTCACTGTCGTGCCCACCCTCAGTCAGGCGAACCACCCTGCTGCTCAGGACAAGGTCCTTTATCTTGTGCTTGGCCATGGAGACAAGGCCGGGTACATCTGGGCTGGAGGGGCCCGTAAGGAATACGCAGGCGGCATGGCGGCCGGGCTCGAACAGGGCCACTGTGGAGGACACAGCCGTCAGGTCTCGGGACCAGACACAGCAGACCTCCCCGTGCGCTGGGCTCAGGCTACACCGAGGCCACACTCACCTTGGAAGGCAACGATGTTGGCAGAGATGTTGGCCAGCTCCAGCAGGATGCCAGGCAGAGTGGGGTGAAACATGTATAGGCTGTGCTGTGTGTCTCTGGGTTCCTAAAATGAGCACCAGCAACGGGATATGAGACTGACCAGGGCTGCAGACATCTCTGTGTCTGGGCCAAGAAACTGAGTGTCCTAGGCGTGGTAGCTGGGCAGTGCTGTGCTCATCCCTTATGGGACACTCCTGACACACTGACCACTCCCAGAGCTGTGTCCACTGGGGTCCCTGCCTGGTGTCCCCCAAAACACCAAACTGAATTCTGCATCCCTCTTCCCCCAACCTGACCCTGATCCTTCTTGGTGTGCTCCACCTGGAACTTGGCCCCGCCTTCCCCAGTACACTGCACAGAATTCTTCCCAGATCCCCCCTGCCCACCCCCGGGGCAGACCCAAGCCCTAGCCTTCCCTGTGGCCAGGGCGCAGCCTCATCCACCCACTCTCCCACGGCTTCTATTTATCTGTGCATGTCCAGTCACCCAATTAGCTCGAGGAGGGGCCTAAGACAGGCCTCTGGTCTCTGGCCCTGGCACTTGGCTCCTGGCACATGTTCTCTGATCATGTGCTCTGCCTGTACCATCTGGTTGGCACTGACCTGCTCGTAGAGGCCCCAGAAGAAGAAGGCTGAGCGGTGGTCTGCAGTTGGCAGGCTGGCGGACTGAGGGTACCCAGGGAAGCCTGGAAGGGCTTGACTCCAAAGGACTGCCCCAGTGCTGAGGTCCAGGAGCAGGATCTGGGGAGGAAGGGGACAGCATGGGGCAGTTAATGGTGGGGCTCACACAGGCACATGGGCCAGCCCTGAACACGCTGCTCCCTGAGGCTGACTGGGATGACTCTCTGAGGCCCCAGTTGTCCCAGCTCTGCCTCCAGGCCACAGCCCTGTCTGCTGTTCAGACTAATTTGCCTCAGCTACAAACAAGGGTGGGACCACAAAAAGAAGTGCAGCCAACCTGTCTGTCAATGCCGGTTCCATTTTCAATGACCACGGCCAAGGTGTCAGGTTTGTAGTGACCAAAGATGGGTTTTCTAGATGAATAGGGAAGGAGAAGTCACGAGGGCTCTGTGAGGAGGTACCTGGGGACAAGTATGCCACCCATCTTCTTCCTGGCCAAATCTGGCCCTGGATGGGAAGCAAAGGGGGCGTCACCGGGCCCTCAGTGAAGGGAAGTACCAGGTGACCAGCAAGAGGCCTCTGACAGAAGCACACTGGTCCTCTCACCCAAACGGGGTTGCCAGGGGGTGGGCTGGCAGTGCCTGGCTTGCAACAACTGCACAGGTTCCTGGAGAAGATCCCTTACCTGAGGACCTGGGGTGCACTGAAGGTCCACCTGAGTGCCAGCTCCTGCCCGTCTAGCAGCACACAGGACTCTGAACTCACGAGGAGGAGGTCCTCGCCACTTTTCCCGGGAACGTTCACCAGATAGTGGATGGCTCCAGAGCTAGAGGATAATGAGAGGGGCGCAGATCAGACAGAGGCTGGAGGCAGGGATCCTCCCCCAAGCCCTGTCCACCAGACTCCCACGTGCAGTCCTGTAATCCTTAGCTCTCAAGTTGGAGAACAGAAAAGCAGACCCTCACTGGATCTGGGGAGAGGGTGAGCCCACTGTCGGGGACCTTTCCCTGGTTTTAATGTGGCCTCTGTTTGCCCAATTCCTGTGTCTGAGCCCAGGATGGCCTCACAGTACCAGCAGCAAGGCCCTCAGCCCCTCGACTGCTCTGAGCACTAAGAAATGGGACCTGGCCTGTGTGATGCCGCCCAGACAAACCTGTGTAAAAGCAGCCTCTGGTTGGTGGCGTTGAGCATGTCCTCCCAGCTGGGGTCTCTCCTTAGTAGGCTGTCTCTCCCGGTCACTTTTTCATAGATGCCCTTCACAGAGTGGCCACAGAGGGAATTTGCTACTCAAAACACAGAAGAGCCTCAGGTCATAAGGGGTTGTTGCTGGGGGACCAGGAGGATGCACCCCCATCAGCCCCACTTCTAGGGACATGTGGTGCCCTCCTTGAGCCTGGGATGGGGGAACGAGGCCCTCTGTGGCTTTCTCAGCTTGTCACTGATGAATTTGAATCCCTAGAATAACAGCAGGAGCCAACGAGCCTCACAGCAGTTACAGAGCTGCTCACTCTGCTTTCTCCAGGGCCCAGAGCTCATCCGAGAGCAGCACGGCCCTGAAGGGGAGGCCGCTGTGTGGCTGGGGTGGGGGCACGTACCCAGCGCACCGCAGGGCAGGAGGACGTAGTGGGCGCCTGCGCCAGTGACGTAGAGCAGGAAGCCGCGGGTCCCCTCCACACCGAGGCTGGCTGGGCGGCCAATCTGGTGCCCTGTGCTGCCTGAATAGATGTAGCTGTTAACCTGTAGCACATGGGAAGAGAAAGGGGTCAAAATTCACCTGGCGTGGGGACAGACGCTTTGATTTAAGAGTGTGTGATGTCCGGGCCGTGTGGACGCCCTTCCTGGGAGCATGCGCGGTCTCCCCGGCCAGGGCCCCTCTGTCCGCAGAGCCTCGCCCACAGCAGCGGCTGAGGGGGAGGCGCACCCCCTTGTCGGGAGGCCTAGAAGCTGTGGACAGGAACGGGGCTGCCCCAGGGTGCTGGGCCTGCAGGTGCCAGAGCACAAGGCCTCGGGCAAGTCCCCAGACAGGCGACCAGACCCAAGCTCTTCCTGGGAAGTGGAAGCGCCCCAGGAGCAGAGGCGAGAGAGGCTGCGGGGGCTCGGGAGGAGAGCTCTACCTCCTTGTCGTGCTGGGCGAGGACCAGCAGATCTGGGGCCCCATCGGCGTCGAGGTCGGGCACCTGGAGTAGCGGGCTAAGGATGGAAGCATTCCTCCCGAAGCTGCTAGGCTGCTTCCACAGGGTCTCCCCTAAAAACAAGTACACGTGACCGGGTGCTGGCCCCGGAGCCCCTCCCGCAGCAGCCTGGCAGACGCACAGAGACTCACGCTTGGAAATGAAAATACCTGCCCGTGGGAGGCTGAGGCAGGTGCAGTGAGGGCAAGACTGCTGAACACACTGACGGGCACACGTGCAAAGGACCAGGGACTGACTTAACAGTGTTAAAGTATTGTTCTGGGAATCGCAGAACTCCCCACCCCCCTACACCTTTTTTTGTTTAGCCATTTTCTAACATTTGGCTCTAGAGCACCTTAGGGCCCATGCTGACCCTCCCCACCTGGACGGACAGGGCTTGGCCTAGCCATGTCCCTAGGCCCCTCAGGACCTGTCTGCTGCTGGGCTCAAAGGTGGACCCTCTGCCCCCACAAAGGTCCTGGCTGAATGGCCTGTGCCTTTGGCCTTCACACAGAAGAGAACAAAGGTGCTTAGGGTTAAACCAGGGGATTGCAGGTTCTGAGGTAACGGCTTCTGACCCAGACGTAATCGTGCCCTTTTTTTTTTTTTAATCGTCACCCAAGGATATTTTTCCCACTGCTTTACAGAGAGTGGAGGAACGGGACACACACACACACACGTGGATATGAGAAAGACACATCCATTGGTCGCCTCTAGCACACACCCCAACTAGCGCCCAGGATTGAGCCTGCAACCAAGGTACGGGCCCTTGGCTGGAATCGAACCCAGGACCCTTCAGTCTGCAGGAAAACATGCTAACCACTGAGCAAAACTGGCTGGGGTTAATCTTGTCCTTTTTAAAAAACTGATCCTCTCAAAATATTTCCAACCTGCTCTTTATTTTCCTCCATAACTCAGAACCACAACTTGTAAGGGAAATGTTAATACCTACCAAATCTAGCGTCAAGGCACAAAATTCCTCAAGACCTTGGTGAGGTATGAGCAGCCATCTCCTTGGTGCCTAAATACGGCCAGTTACAGAAGGCACAGAGGAGCACCCTCACATCGAGAGCACCGACAGGCCCAGATCTCCCCTTGCCCTGGGTGCTGCAGAAGGCTGTGGACTCCTACTCCCTATAACAAGGAGCAGCCAAGCTCCTCCCCTCATCTCTGGCACCCCACAGGAAGGGCTCTGCTGTGCTCCCACAAGCAAGATTTAAACAGGTGACAAGACACAATGGCACGTGACATGTCAGAGTAGCTTTGGTGTTGACTGCTAAGTAGCCGAGTCCTCACATGGGCGTTCCCTTCCACTCTGTAACCATCCTTTCCATCCAATCACAGTGCCTGAGAGCAAAGGCTGACCCTTCTCAGAGCATGCTGGCATTGGTCCTCCTGCCTGAGGAGGCCCAGGTGGAGGTGCAGAGAGAACCAGCCTACCTGTAAATAAGTCCACTGCAATGAGAGAACCGGGTCTGCCCACGAGGATGCAGGCAGAAGATGCCCCGCTGTCTTTTGGCCGGGGGACACCACACAACACAAGGGCCCCATCCTGGGCTGCGGGCCTCTCCCAGAGGATGGTGCCGTTGGCCCCTGATACAGCAGCCACAAAGGAGCAGGGAGACGAAAAGCCTGTAGGGGACAGACCCAACTCTGTGGGGCCGTGCACACGGACCACGCACTGCCAGTTCTCCTGAACACCTCGCCCCTGCCACAGCCCCTACTGCCTAGCCTCATTGCCTTTATACCTGGGCCCCTTACCCACCCAGACCCATGGGGGTCCCAGTGTTGATCCCATGGGGGTCAACAGCCAAACAGGGTGGGTGCTGAGATTGGCCTTGTCTCTTTCTAGTCCTGCTATGAAGAAAGGGCAATGCCGATTTCCAGAAATTCCACCAAAAGCTTCCCCCAAACACTGGAAGAGCAAGGACTCCTCCTCTCCCAGTGACTTCCTCCTTCTTTGGGTAGAAACAAAGTTACCTTCATCAGCGCAGGACAGGCTGAAATTGTTGCTATCGTTGGTATTTTTATAAAGAAAGAGAACATCTTGGACCCTGTCCCTGTTTATGTCTTCTGTGGCCAGAAAATCGTAGGTGACTGAAAAAGAAAAGCAGACTCTGTTTTGCAGGCATGTCTGACATGACCTGCTTCTCTGCTCCTCAGGGTACAGCGCCAGTTAGAACCCACCACTACGAGATCACCACAGGGACTAGCCATTGCCCACAGCTCTTCAGAATGCCAGCCACTCCTCACGCACAGGATGGATGACAATATCAGGGGTTAATTTTTAGGAAGGAGCAAGTGGGACACCCGGTACCACAAACGGATGTCTGCGCAGCTTCTGTTCAGGAATGAATGCCTCCTTAACGTCAGTTTGGGATCGAGACCACACTTCCATACTCGTAAAGGTCTAGCCCTTCCCTTCATTCAATGACTCAAAAGATAAACTATATGTTTTAAAATCAAACACCAAAAGAAAGAATGGGCCCGTACCTTACACCATACAAAAAATGCACGAAAGACATAAAGGTAAGAGCTAAGACTATAAAACTCTTAGCAGAAAACACCGGGAAGTCTTTGACTTTGGTTTCGTTAATGATTCTGATATAATAACAAAAGCATAGGCAACTCTAAGAAAGAAGTGGAGTGTCCAGAGAGAGGCTGAATCAGTTGCTTTTCATAAAGGCCATGACTCCTGACCGCCACTGTTGTGAGAGAAATGAGAGTACGCTTTGCTCTAGCTAAGCCAACTAGAATTTTAGCCCTTTAGGAAGACTGGCAGCCACTGAGAGTTGGCTGCCAAAGATGACTTCCAAAGATGACGCACATGCTGCCCCTGCCCTCAGCCCGGAGGAGAGAATGTGTGTGTGTGGGGGGGGGCGTACCTGCTGTGTTGTAATTGACCCTCCACATCCCCAGTGACGCCGGCTTGTCTGGACACGGGATGATGAAGGAAATCACAAACACCACCAGAAGGCATGTAAACAGCGAGAGGAAAAATGCCACCGTCCGGCACCTGGAGAGGCGGGACTGTGGGGGCGCACTTTTCAGGTGACCTTCCTTTTTCAGTTGGTTTCCCAGGCTCTCCTGCAGCCTCCCTTCTTCATTCTTCAAGGGGTGGATTTCAGCTTCTACGTCCTTGCTGTCCATCGTGCGCACATCCCAGTTTACTTTCTGATCACTGTGCCAATGAAACAAGAGATGGCCAAGAGCTACAGGCAGCACAGTATGATCATCAAGGCCCTGCGTTCTTTTTTTTAAAATATATCTATTGATTTCAGAGAGAGGAAGGGAGAGGGAGAGAGAGAGAAACATCAATGATGAGAGAGAGTCAGTGATCGGCTGCCTCCTGCACGCCCCCCAGTGGGGATCAAGCCCACAACCTGGGCATGTGCCCTGACCGGGAATCGAACCGCATCTCCTGGATCCTAGGTCGATGCTCAACCGCTGAGCCACGCCTGGCCAGGCAAGGCCCTATGTTCTCAGTGTTGTTCTCAGTGTCGTAGGAGCATGGCTGCAGTGCTGACTGTGGGCTACCAGTCCAAGAAATAAGAGCTAAATAAATGTTTAGGGTGTCACAGATTCCCCTTGAGAAGGTCTTTAAGTCAGAAAGGCAAATTGCTCGTAAGAGCCAGTACAGGGAATATTTTCACCTTCATACACTGATATTTCTTGTCCACTGACCCTGGGACAAGCAGGGCAGCACTGGGCGGGGGCTGATAATCAGCCCATACACTAAACATTAACAAAGCCCTGCCAGCTCACAGGCTGGGCACCTCTGATCAGCCTTCTGCCAGCCTGAAGTACAGATGGAACAGCCTGGTAGGGCTCCCTAGAGAGTCACGAACCCTTTACTCACTCAGTGACCTGGGCAGCTCCTTGATCTGACCGCGCCTGGTTTCCTTATCTGTAAAAGGGAAACAATATCTATTTTAGAAGGGTTAGATTAGTAAGTGAATAGAAAGCATTTAGAACAGTATCTGACACATATGAAGCACTGAAACACTAGCTCATTATTATTAATAACAAGATAAAATATGTTAGACGTCGCATGGAGGAAAGTGGACAGCTGCATGGATGGGCACAGGGGTTATGCACAATTTCTGAGCCTTTATGGGCAAGAACAAACTCTCTCCTGCCCTGCTCTCCTCCCTGTGGCTGGACCATGGGTGGGTGTGGCGAGGAAACCTTGAGTGGCCACCCTGGAAAATAAGATGGAAAATAGTTTTGAAGACGGTGAAGCCACAGGACAGAAAAAGCATGGTCCCTGGTAGCTGGAAATCACCACCATCAACCCTTGAGTTCTTTGTACTCTATTATATGAGAAAGAAACAAACTTCTATCTTGTGTAAGGCAAGGTGTTTGACCCTTTTTAAACAGTGTCCTAACTAACACAGATTATATTGAGAAGGGAAGGGGTCATATGGACCAAAGTGAACTGTAATCTTCACCTAATAGAAATCGATGATTCAAAATGGGTAAATGAGACTATGCCATGGGTCAAACGGAGCTAAAACCCAGAAGGAACAGCAGAGACTGGTTCTCTTTAGAATGCGCTAAAGAAGGCTGGAAAGAGACAAGACGTTTGTTTTGGGTATAAACTTATTACTTTCTGACCTTAACTGTTTCTTTCCATTTAATAAAAACAATTCATTCAAAAATCTACTTCTCTACTCACTAGGGTAGCTTTAATTAAAAAAATTAAAAATGACAAGTGTGGGTGAGGATGTGGAGGAATTGGGACCCTTGTACGTTGCTCGTGGGAATGGAAAATGGTGCAGCTACTCTGGAAAACAGTTGGCGGTTCCTCAAAAAGTTAAACACAGAATTACCACATGATCCAACAATTCCACTTCTAACCCAAAAGAAAGGAAAACAGACTCACACAAAAACTTGTAGACAAATAGTCACAGCTACATTATTTGTAACAACCCACATGTCCATCAACAGATGAATGGATAAGCAAAATGTGGTAATTCCATACAATGGAATATTACTTGGTCATAAGAAGAATGAAGCACTCAGATACAACATGGATGAACCTTGAAGACACTTGTGCTCGGTGAAATAATCCAGACACAAAAGGTCACATAGTGTGATCCCATTTCTATGAAACATCCAGAGTGGGCAAGTCTATAGAGGCAGAAAGCAGATGAGTGGTTGCCAGGGGTTGGGGGAAATGGGGAGTGACTGCTAATGGATGCAGGGTTTCCTTTTGGGGTGATAAAAATGATGGTGGTGGTTGTAAAACACTGTGAATACACTGTCACTGATGATAAATTTTATATCCTGTGCATTTTACCACAATTTAAAAAGGAAACCAAACAAATCTGTGTATGTTCTCCTGAGTGCTGAGATATAAGTTTTAACTGAGATATAAGAAGTTAGAAAAGGTGTGTGTCAAAGGTAGTAAGTTGAACTCAGGAAATCAAACAGTGACTCATGACCAGGGACCTCACTAAACCCAAGCATCTGACATGGGTGTGGGGGAGGTGGGGCAGGTCATCTAAGAGGGTAAATAGGGAAAGCGCCAGCAACAGAACCTGGGAACGGGCTTGACCAACAGGAGAGCTGCTTACTCAGCAAATCTGGCCACTTTGTCCCCAGTGATGACATGTTTGAATTAATTAAAACACAAATTCCTTTGGCAAAGGAAAGAAAACTGAATGAGAAATCAGAATTCTAAAATTCTTGATTTTAAAAGCTCTATCTTTAAAGTTCTCTTACTCATGAGCTTTAAAATGTTGGGCCAGAAACTCAAGCTCTCAGAGCTAAAGCTGCTCTCATCTGTCAGAAGCCAGAGCATCTACCAGGAGACAGCAGGAAACCACCCTACCACTATCTGTGCAAGAATGAGGGGCATCTGCTCAAAATGACACACTATTCCCATCCAGTCTCTGACCCTTGTTTCCCAGACCTACCTTGTGGCAGGAACACCTGGAAGACGTGTTCAACATTAGCTTCCGGACAGCCACTGGTACATCTGGTGGTTGGGTCTGCACAGGTCGATCTAGGGATTGTAAAGCTGTTCGTGAAATGCATCTCAGGCAGCTTGTGAATGCATCCGGTGAAGGATGCAGGTCCTTCCAGAGCCAGGATTCTCTGCCCTTCCCTTATCTGGTCATTCCATTTTTGCTATCAGATGATGACTAGGTTTCTCTTGTTTCCTGGCCTCTAGGGTGAAGACTCCACCCCCACTGCCAGCAAGGATAGTAAAGCAAGGGGAAGAAGAGCCTCTCCCAGTAATCAAGCCGCCTGAGGCCGCTTTTGGGGTTTCCTTTCCTTGGAATTGTCTGCAAGCTAGGTAAAGTAAATCCAAATGCAGAGCCCAATCAGGCTAAACTGCTCCTTTTCCTCATCAGTCTCAGAAACCCTACACTACATGGGTCCCTAAAACTAAGAACAAAGGACAGTGCAAAGCAATTAGTACTGATGTGGTCTGGGATTTTATTTTTTTTAAGTCAGCAATATACATAATGCATCTGAAACATGTTAGTCCCACAGGCGTGTCACAGCGGTTGAGCGACGACCTAGGATCCAGGAGATTGCAGTTTGATTCCCGGTCAGGGCACATGCCCGGGTTTCGGGCTCGATCTACAAGGAGGGGCGTGCAGGAGGCAGCCAATCAATGAGTCTCTCATCATTGATGTTTCTATCTCTCTTTCCCTCTCCCTTCCTCTCTCGGAAGTCAATAAAAATATATTTAAAAAAAGATGTAAAAGCATAAATCTCCCTCCCTCTTGTGGCCCCCAAGCTCAAGAGGGGAAGCATGGTAGCAGTTTCTCATGGCTCCCTCCAGTAATGCTCTGTGTACTGACACACAGAAAGTGTGTTTTTAAAATGTGACTCTTCTCCAGACATTAGGAGATCTCAATTGTTTCACCGGCTTCCTCTTTTTCTGTTAAAAGAACTGTTTCAAGTCTGAAGCTTTCCAAGGAGTCAAGGGTCTACTATTTGAGATTCTTAAAACCTGAACTTCACTAAGGAACATAAGCTCTTTACAAGGAAGGCTCCTTAAAAGTCTTCCAGTCAAGTCTTTCGACCTCCTGCCCCTATAGGAATTATTTTCTACAAGGGGGTTTCACAAATGTGGAAAAAAGGAGGCAGTGAGCACGCAGGGAGCAGGCTCCCACTGTGGCCAGTGGCCCTCTGCTTTTGGCTTTCCTGATGTGAAGCTGAAGACTGAGCTTGGGCTGCATGGACTTTTTGGACAGTAGGGCTGATACTGGTAGTTCAGAACTTGCAGTTCTACATTAACCAAGGAAGAGAGCTTTTCCTAGTCATCCTCAGATCTCCTCAGACTTCTCAGCTTGCAGATTTCCTAAGCAAACTAAGAGTATTGGTGTTCTTTACAGAAATACAATTTTAGTATACCTAGTGCTGCCATATAAACCAGAGGCAGATTTACCAGCCCCAAGTGAGTATCTGTATGCTGTACTAAAAAAGAAAAATATCTGATATACCAGCAGAACAGTAACATCTTTTCTTTTCTTTCTTTGTTTTTTTAATCCTCACCCGAGGATATTTTTTCCATTGCTTTTCAGAGTGGAAGGGGGAGGGAGGGAGGGAGGGAGAGGGAGGAGAGAGAAACACTGATGTGAGAGAGACAC